AAAAACTTTAAGACATTTTTATGGGCAATGATTTTTTTGGATGAGACCCCAAAAGCAAGGCAACAAAAGCAAAAATGGACAAATGGAATATCAAAAGCACAGCAAAGGAAAGAGCCAATAGAAGTGAAGAGATAACCTATGGAATAGGAAAAATATTTGACAACTATTCATCCAATAAAAGATTAATATCCAGAATATATAAGGAATTTAAAAACTTGACAGCAAAGCAAGCCCACCAAGCAAAACAACAACAGGAAACAATCTGCTTATTTTGTTCAAAATATAGGCAAATAATTGGAATAGACATTTCTCAAAAGAAGACATGAAAATGTCCAGCAAGGGTAGGAAAGATACTCAACATCACTCATCATCAGGGAAATGCAAATCAAAACAATGACGTATCAGTTACAATAGCTATAATAAAAAAGAAAATAAATGCTGTTGAGGATGTAGAGAAAGGAGGACTCATACACTTTTGGTGGGAATGTAAATTAATACAACCATTACGGAGAATAGTATGGCAGTTTCTCAAAAATTGAAAACAGAAGCACCATATGATCTGGTAATCCCAATATTGGGTGTATATTGGAAGGAAATGAAATCAGTACATGGAAGAGATGCCTTCACTCCCATGTTTATTTTTGAGTTATTCACAATGACTATGATATGGAACTATCTTTGGTATCAAGGGACAAATGAATTAAGAAAATATGCTACATGTACACATGGAATTTTGGCCACACAAAAGAGTGAAATCCTGTCATTTTTCGCAATGTGGGTGGAACTGGAAGATACTATGTTAAGTAAAATAAGCCAGACACAGAAAGACAATACTATATGTTCTCATTCACATGTGAAAGTTAAGATAGTTGATATCGAAGTAGTGATTAGAATGTTAGGAAGTGTGGTGATATAGGAGGAGAGGGATGTTGGATCATGGGTATGAAAATACACTTAGAAGGGGTAAGTTCTAATGTTCTACAGCACAGTGGAATGACTAGAGTTTACAATGATTAACTGTTTTATAGAGAACTGGCGGTGTAGAGTTGGAAGGCTCCCAACACAAAGAAGTGATCAATGTATAAGGAGATGAAAATGCCAATTATCCTGATTTGATCATTACACATTCTATACAAGTATCAAAATATCACACTGTATCCCATGAACATATATGAGCATTATATGTAAATTAAAGAATAAAATAAAATGAAAAAAAGCTTGCAATTTCAATTGTGGATATTCTTAAATACTAAGACATGGTGCCTGAGGCTTTTTCCCAGAGGGGATGGGTGGGGAAGGAGAACTGGAAAATGTCCCAGTAAGGAAACTGTCCCTTCAAAAGGACACCTACACTTACCTGGTCAGAAAGGGGACAGTTAGCAGGGTGAGCTTTGGGGTAGCACACTACTGTGAATGTGAAGTGTAAAAAGGAAGATTAAGAGAGCAATGAAAAATTTACTATGTTGTAGTTTTGCCAGGTTTCTACTCTGAGGAAGGGTTTGGTCAGCTTGATTCATGTTGGGTTGATCTGATCAGCAAGGAGAAGTCTGCATGGAGAACTGCTGTCTGTAGTATCAGGCTGATTTTATGGCCCTAAGATAATTTGTTGTGCTCACACATCACTTGAGAAGAGAGACAGGAAAAGGGAGCAGGTGGGAGCCAGAGACTCTGGTTAGAGGCTACACTAGAACCTGTTTCTACCAAGCCCTCATAATTCTATGCCGCCTGCCTTCTTGTTAGGACAATTGTCAGATGTTTACCATGAATGCAGACCTCTGCTCTGACTCTTTAAAAAGGTTATTTTCCAGTTTATTCCATTTCTAACCATGTACCTGCTGCCAGTCCTCTGCAGTTAATTCCAGGGCTGCCTGCACATTGTACATGGATGTTTTATAACTGCTACCATGTATTTTTCGAAATCATTGGGGATCTTTTCCCTATAGTAACTTACCCTTCTAGAAAGTCTTCAGCTGCTACCCACACACCACATGAGTCACAACAGAATTTGATTCAGAGCTAGTGAAACCTTTAAGAGTAAAACTGTTATTAGTGAAAATTATTTATCTCAGGAACAATTAAGGAGGATTCAATTCAGCCCTGAATTAAAAACTGCATAATACTTTTTTGGTTAAAATGTTTTTCTTTACATCTCAAATCCGCTATAGGTTTTGAGAAAATGTTTTATTACTCAATGAGACTTCTGCTAAAATAAGATGTGAGGAAATGGGCTCCAGAGCTAAGGGATAACTCAGTTTATTTGAATCTCTGAGGGGGCAGGGCACATTTCTGGCTCTGAAAAGAAAAGAAGGCTCCACTGTCTTAAGTTGTTAACACAGTTTGCCGGAACCTGCCAACAACTTTACAGTCTTGTTTTTAAAGATTGTTTAATAGAGTTGCCAGTATATTGCAGTTTGTAGCATTCTGACCCAGGTCTCATCTAGGGCAATGAATCAGTCTTTACTTTGGTGGTCATTGATCCAAGACAAATTATCCCAGTGCCAGAAATTTGGGAAGAGTTCAGCTTGGTATTTCTTACTAGGTGCCTCTTATATTGTAGTATTTAAATGCCTACTGAGGCTGTATAGTATCTGAAGGTTTGACAGGAGAAAGTACACAGATAGCTCATGCCAGGGCTGGCAGCTGATGCAGGCTTCTAACCAGGAGTCTGGATGGAGCTACTGACAAAGAGTAACTACAGTTGGCCTTCCAGGCAATGTGGTCTTAGAGATGTTTGATTTTTTAAATGTTTTTCTTTCTTTTTTGTTAGCATATGTTTGCAATACATGATAAATATAGTCATCGTATACATATTACATCTTGATCATTTTTACTTCCACTTCTTTCTTCCTTCCCATCTCACCTCATTTCCAGATCCCCGTCCCATCTCCACAAAGTCTATCTCCCTGTTTCCTATTCTGTATCTTTTATTTTGTCCTAAATTATTGATACTTTCTTTGGGTTTCTCATAAGAAAGAGTAACCATAAGATATTTATCTTCTATGTCTGATTTATCTATTTTCTTATGAATGATTCAAATTTATCTTTCTTTATGTCTGAGCTATAATCCATTCTGAATATATACCACATTTTCTTAATGTGTCTATTGATGGTCATGTAAGCTGCTTCCGAGTTGTTCAATTTCTTACATGGCACCTGGCTTTCCTACAACAAACATTCCGGCAAAACCAGGTGGACATTAGATGACCATTTCCAGCCCAGGTTCAGAAGGGACATGGGCCTATGTATGGTGGTGCACACCTGTAATTCTAAATACTTGGGAGGCAGAGGCAAGAGAATCACAAGTTTTAGTCCAGCCTAGATAATTTAGTGACTTAGCGAGAACCTGTCTCAAAAAAATATTTAAAATTTTAAAAAGAGGGCTGGGAATGCAGCTCAGTGTGAAGGACCTGGGTTCAATCCTCAGCCACACACACACACACACACACACACAGTAATATGGGGATGGTGATGGTTGAAGCAGTCACAGGCCCACCCACAGTCAAGGGCTAGAAGCAAAGACTCCACATTAGATGTGGGAAGCATGAAATAGCTTATAGCCATTTAAACAACAACAACAATAACAACAACAACCACCCTGAAATGATCTCTGGGCACTCTGTGGGCATTCTTATCAAGTTCAGGTCTAACTCTTCATGTGGATATCCACTCCATAGACTGTCTTTTCCAGTTCCTTCCCAGCACCTCTTTGTCTTGCTTTTCTTCCTTTTCAATCTACTTAGACAAATCACCACGGGTTTCCTCTTTCTTCTTTTAAAACATTTTCTAGCTGATTTGGTTCAAATAAGTTAATAGATTTCCTAACTTGTATGCAGAATGTCGTAAAATTTTATTTTTACACTTCTTACAAAGTAGAGATTTTACTACAATAGCATGTTCTTTGAAATATCTTTCACATGACTATACTACACATGAATCTTACAATATGCATCATTTCAAGGTAGAGTCTCTGTGGTGTTCACCTTAACAAATGTCTTTAATTACCCTTCTTTTTCAAACAATATGATGCAATTTCTTCATAGCAAAAGCTAAGGGCAGCCTTTTGATTGTAATGAGTCAGGCTCACCTTAGAAAGGAAACCTACTGGGAGCTGATTCAATGCCTGAGAAGTCTCATTCTGTCTAACATCTTCAAGGTATGGACCACCAATACGTAGGCCTTATACAAAAACATTCACGTCGGGGCTGAAGGTGTAGTTTAGTGGTGAGGCCTTAGCTTAAACCCCTGACCTCAAAAAGAAAAAAATCCTTGCTTTAAAAACTGGATAATTGCCAATATTTTTTAGCCAGATCAATATAGCCTTCTTACAATCACCTTAAATATTCCTTTCCAGGCTTCTCAAGTCAGCCTCAGAATTATGCTCAATGATCTGCTTAATAATCAATAAGCTGAGATTGACAGAGTGGGTTCCGCCCATTCCCTCCCACTTCACTTGAGTCAGAATTCAAGAATGGTTTCTTTTGTATGAGGTAGTTTTAAATACAGGTTGTGTCAATGAAGAGGAAATGTCACAGTAAAACTTGGGTATTTCAAACTGTGCACTTTCAAGGGTGTGGGCTCTGATTGGCAAACTAAACTGTCATCCCAGCAAAAGGACATGGTAAATTTAAAAGGAATAGCATGCCGGTGAGATGACAATGAAAATATAGACTTTAATAAATAATGAATTCTTCCTTAGAGATTAATGCAGCTGTGTAAAACAATGGATTATTAGGGATTTACGAGAGTAAAATTGTTTCTATAATACAAAAGGATTTTGTGGTGACTTTATAATAATGTTTTATGTGTAGTTTTGTCTTATAGGAATAGTATAATATGATGATAGTATGTTTTATGTCAGATGTGTCCAACCCATGGTCCATAGGCTGCATGTGCCCTGGACAGCTATTAATACAGCCCCACAAGATTGTAGCTGTTTACCATTATTATGTGATTTTAGCAATATGGAAATTTTAATAATATTTTTCATGACTCAATTGCAGGTGCTTGAGTGCAGACTGCAGAAGTGACCAAGAGTGCTTGTAGGGGAGGGTGCTATGCAGTACCATCTCTGCCTTCTGTGCCACCAGCCCCTGGCAGCCCAGTGGAAACCTGCATGTATCAGATGTTACATGTACTTGTGCAACCTGGTGAGTTAATGTGGTGATTACTGTAATGGTATTTCATCCTACCTACATGTGTCTGTGCTTGTGAATACAGGCATCTGTTGTAATTAAGCAGACATGTAAGTTTTCTTACTTAATTGATAAACTTGGGATGCTTGTGTTATTTTATTAAACCGCTTTGTTACAGGAATTTGAGAATTGGTTTCTTGATATCTAAAAAAGAATCATCATTTTTTGGTATATTTGCAACTGCATTTCAGTCACCATAAATACCTGTGGATAAAGAAGGCTGACTGGAAAGATCCATCAGGGCCAATACCTCTCCTTCACATTTTGATTCCAAGCTTGCCCTGCACTCATGTGCTGACTATGGGACTTTCATGATCCCACTTTGGCTTGGCAGTGGAATTTTGTTGCAAGCATATTAACACATTTGCTTTGAATGAACTACTCATGAAAGATTCTATACTAGTACCTGAAAAAAGCAGGAATCTTGGGCTTCATTGAGTTTGTAGAATAGGATGTGTGATTTTTTGTGTGTGTTTGTATCATTAAAGCAATTTCTTAAGCAAATTAATTGTCAGCATATATCAAAAATATATTTCAAACTTGCTGCCAGGGGAGAGGCTCATGAACAAACTCACTTAAACATTCTTTAGTTAATACAAGTTATTTGGTTTTAGGAAAATAAAAGGTGGTTAGATAAATCCCTACTAGACTTTAGATAAAGATCATTAGACACTCCAGGGGACTGGTCCAAGGTTGATAAGCAACTTCCAAAGTTTGACAATCAGCTGTTAAATTTAATCAGAACGTTAAATTAACGTTTCAATGAAAGGAAATGGGTCACTCTAAATGGGGAATGTGAAGACAATTGACCAAAGAGACTATCTATTAGGGTATGTGCAGAGTTTGGGAATCTAACAAGGAATAATGCACCCCTCAGAGCCAGCCACGGGGGAGCCATTCCTACTCCTAAATCTGAAGGAGCAAGGGAAGGGCACTGGTGCTGGGACCCAAAAAAGGGGGGAAAGGAAGCAGCGTGGAAAGTAATTTCTCTCAGGATCCCAGCCTGCAGTGGAAGGGTATGTCCATCAGCATCTCTGCAGGGAGAGAACCATGGGATAACTACACAACACTGCTGTCCTGTGCTTTGCTCTCCAGCTTCTTTCTTGGTGTCTCTCACTGGTCAAAACTAGGTCAAGCTGGAAGGCCAGGGGGCCCATGGTTGCAGCCTACACTGGCAGCTTCCATGGCCCAGAGGGCAGAGAAGGGTGAGCAGGAGAGCAGGCTAGCTGAAGATCTGGCACAGAAAATTTCCTAGAAAGACCTTGAGCTCATTGAAGTCTATCAGATAGCTTGTGCAATTTATCATGAATGGTAATTACTTCTCCAAAGACGCAGCTAATCAGATCAAACGACATAGTTCCACCTCAGTTCAGGAACAATTTTCTTTCTCAGTATGTGTAGCAAAAAATGGTCTGATCTTACTTTTATTATAACTTAGCACCTGATAGGCTTACTGCTTCATCTGTCTCTCAGTAGTGGTGCCAATCAGGAAGAATCTCCGTCCTTCATACCCGTGAAAAGTTATGTTGGCATAGGTAAGCTTGCTACTGTTCTTTTGCTGACCATCCTACCCTTCTCCCTCGTTATACTTATTATTTATAAGTACATGTTCATAATTATATACATAAATTTATTGCTTTCATGTTACCCCACCCAGCGACCAAAATTCATGAAGTTCAAAGAATGTATCTCTACTGTGCTGCACATTGTAGGTGTTCAATACTTATTTGTTAATGAATGAATGAATGAACACTCTTGGCTATCTGCCAGCAAGACAGAATTAGTGAAGTATGGGTTGTGGAATAAGAAAGAATTAGGTTTGAGTTTCAGCTCTACTTAGAAGATATGTGGCCTTAGTAAATTGCTTAATCTCTCAAAGCTTCAATTTCTTCCTCTGTACTATGGAGGTTATAAAACTTACTCATTGACTTATTTAAGTTTAAATCAGATACACTGCCAAATGCCCAGTTGGGCTGGGACTCCAAAAAAAGACAGCTGTGAAACAGAGTGACACCTGCTGTGGGTCCCGTCCACCTATTGTTAGGCTTTGTAAAAGAATATTTACCACTAGGGGTCTCCTTTGAAATGAGTAATGCTCATTTAAAAATTTTTTTTCTTGAAGGAATAACTAGGGGCTTAGCAATATAAAGGCTTTAGCTCTTTAAAGGATTTATTTTTATTTTATCATTGAACAGATCTCTTTTCCTTCTTTATTTTATTTCTTCTTTTTTTGGGAGGGGTACAGCATGATGTTTTGATATATGTATACATTGTAAAATTGTAAAATTATTTAATCAAGCTAATTAATTAAAGTCCATCATCTCATGTTTTCTTTTTTGTGATGAGAATATTTAAGATCTATGTTCTTAGCAATTTTCAAGTATACATTATTATTAACTGTAATAATTATGGTGTAAATACATCTCAAGAACTTAATCTTCATGTATAGCTGAAAATTTGTACTCTCTGACTAATAGCTTCCCATATCCCCTCCCAGTCTCTAGTAACCACCGCTCTACTATTTTTGAAGGTTGATAGAAATTACTCTTTCAAATGGTTGCTGGTGTTTAGTGAAATCTGGTAGAAATATATTTAGCCTAGTCTGAAGCCCTTAGCACTTGTAGGACATGGTGTCCTATGGACTTGGCAAGGGATTGTGGGTACCTGAGGTGCTCCTAGACTATGTAGATGCAATTTATTAGCTTAGGACATATTTCAAATGCATTAGAAGCATTCATCCTGTGATGAATTCTCTTCTAAAGCAAAGAATGACTCCAATATTCTTTTAAAAATCTAATTTCCTTTAAGTGTTGCTGCTGTGGCAAAGTCCATATGCTGGTGATAGCCCTTAGGCTAACTTTCCAAGTCCTTGTTAATGTAGCACACTTGCTCCCCACCCTAGGCTTTTAAAAAGTGATCTTTAAAAATATTTACAGACCCAGGCTTGGTGGCACATGCCTGAAATCCCAGCACTGAGGAGGCTGAGGCAGCAGAATTGCCGCGAATTTGAGGCCATATTGGTCTACCTGTGAGTTTAAGGCCAGCCTGAACTACATAGCGAGACTTTGTCTCAAAAAAATTCTAGAAAAAATAAGAAATACAGATAAACAAAAATAAAAATGTACAAGCTAGCCACAATCTATCCATTCAAAAGCTAATTTGTACTTGGCTCTTGTGTGGCTTTTGCCAAGAAAAGTCTTCATTAGAGGTACTTTCCCTTCCCTGGTATGTCATCAGTATTTCACCAATTTCAGTGAATACTTTTGTAAACAGAATTCCTTTTGCAAATTTCTCTGCCATATATACATTGATTACTTTCCCACTCTAACTAAACATTGTTGAACACCTGTCATTGTCTCCCCACCATTGATTTTTAACCTTACCACAGTGTGTAAATATAGTCAGTTCTTTGCACGCATGAGTTCTTCACACATAGATTCAACCAAATGGAGATAAAAATATATTTGGAAAAAAGTTGCACCTGTGCTGAACATGTACAAACCTGTTTCTTTGTCATTTTCTCTTAAACAACACAATATAACAATCATTTACATAGCCCTTACATATTTGCATGGCATTTATATAGCATTTTGTTAGTATTATAAATAATCCAGAGATGATTTAAAATATATGGAAGGATATGTATAGATTATATGCAGATACTATTCCTTCTTAATGTATGGGATTGGAGCATCGGTGGATTTTGGTATCCATGGAGATCTTGGAACCCAGTTCTCTGCAGATACCCAGGGACAGCTGTATTTCTTGACCTCCCTGTGACATCAAACACTCTTGGCCATTCCTTCCTCTGGAAACAGCTCCTCTCCTGATTCCTGTAATACAGTATTCCAATCTGGCACTGTACCTACCCCTTCTCCACTTTCCTATACCTTGTCCCACTCTTAATTGTTGATTAACTAAGCTCACCATGTTCTTATTTAGGTATCCTTCATTGTCCATACTCCCTTAGATATGTAAGCTCTTAATGGCTCTTTATCCACCTGTATTGTCTGCACAATACATGTTTCTCAGAGGAAGTAAAATTGAAGAAAGTGATTTGAGTCACCCCCATGGCCCATATAGTTCTAAACTCGTGGCTTCTCCCAATCAATTCAGGGGCCAACACCTTTGTTAAGAATATGGACTTTGCCTTGAATTCAAGTCTTGGGTCTTCCACAAGCCAATAGTTTAAATTTTGGAAGGTACTTGGTTTCTCTTAGCCTCAGTTTTCATCTTGGTGATCTATAAATCCTTAATTGCATTTTAATATAAAGCATTTTACACAGTGATGACACATAGTAAGCACGGGATAAGTGTTAAACACAATTATTTATGTTGTTATTTCAATATGACATCTTTTATTAATAATGTGATCACTAAATCTTTGTCTAATATCAATGGACATGGGCCACCTATTGGTATTTTCCCCCCAATTAATGTATATGTTTTTTAACTAGACCTTTTAGAGACAATACAGTCAGTTCAGATGGCAGAGGGGTGGATCCAGGGGTAGAAATCCAGGCTAATCATTAGATGAAAATTATATGACTCCCTCAAAGCTGCTTCCTCTGGTTAATATGACATATGATTAAACCTTACAGTAAATGTTTAAATTTCAAAACAATTATTATAATAAAAGACAGGTTGTCATTAATCTCCCTCAAAACACCCCCCTCTAGCTTTGAACACAATTATCCCATTGGTCCCACCACTTTGAGGCACTTTGAGGAACTGCCACTTTGAGGCAGTTCTGGAAGTCTTCTTTGGTGAGTGTCTTTACAAGGTGTGCTAAAAGTATGGTGACTACTGGTCCCAAGGGCCAGCCAATGGAAAGCCAGGCTCATAAAATCTTACAGTGTCCTTACTACATATTCACCAGATCTGACACTGTGTGACTTCTGGCTCTTCCTCAAAGTTAAAATGACCGTGAAAGATAAATGCTTTCAATCAATTCAGGACATTGAGGCAGCTACAACAGCAACTAGTGACATTCATGACAAAGGATATTCAGAACTGCTTCAGAAAGTAGCAAGGACAATATGATAGTGTTTTGGAAGGCAGAGGGAGCATTTTGAGGGAGATTAAGGGCAATGTGTCTTTTACTGTAATAAACTTAAAAAAAATTTTAAACATTCATTGTATTTTTAATCATACTTTATATCTCTCCGTATTTCTACCTGTGTCCTTTGGTTGATCTTGGTCACAAAAGCTGCTGATTGCCACCCAATGGCAATTCCTCCTCTCTAATAGAAATATAATTTTGTACAATTTTGGATTGAAATTCCAGTTTCCATGCTAGGTTGGTTTAGACATGGATGCACAATATAATTCTGGCCAAGGAACCATGAGAAAAGTCTTCTCTAGGGCTTCTAAAAACAACAACAACAACAACAGCAACAACACTTTTGTTCTCTAAGGTGAATAAGATGAAATTCCAGCCTTTGGGTGAGACGTGAAAAGCTATGATGTTTGAGGTAGCTGCAGCTGGCTTTCCACCACGCTGCCACACCTGAGTTGAGGTTCCAGGTTCTCAGGAGTAAAGAGCCTGGAGAAAGAATCTGGTTGTGATAACTTTGTGGATAAACTGAAAAACACAACCTGTTTCAGGGTGTCCTGCTCCGTGGTAGATCAAATCCCTTTATTATTTAAGTCATTTAGAGTTGAATCTTCTGTTACTTGCAGTAAGAAAACACATAAGCAATTCAACTGTGGAACATGGCAAGCTGTGGAAAAACGTGAATTGCTCTATTCACTTTGTAGGCAAAAAGTATAAAAGATTCTTTTGGTAAATCACTATTTTTATAGTAACTAGAGTAACATAAAAATCTTATATGACTTAAAGCAAAAGCAAATCCTTTTGTTTCTGTTCGATGTGGAGACCTGGGTACCTCAAAGAGGCCCTGGAGTGTCACAGGGAATTTCATTTCCTCAGTATAGGTTTTGAAAGTCTAAATGCTGACACACAATAGTTTTCTTCTGAGGTGTATTCCTTAGATGTTGGGAGCAATGCTACATAATTCTAGGGAAAAATCATTTGGTTAGCCTAGTTCTCTTGCCTACAGCCCAGCTACAGAATAACTCCAGTTTGGCCTCCGGTCACAACTGAGACTTCAGTGATCCAGTGATGCTGTGATTCTCCAGGACAAGAA